CAATAGAAACCATCACAGAAATTCTTATAGTTTCCATTAAACCATTACAAAATTCCTTTTTGTTTTGGGCATTATTCCAATAGGAATTACTGTTGTTCTATTGGTTCCCATCTGCCAGATTACATCCCACCAATAGAATCCATCAAATAGACACCATTATAGTTTACATTAAAACCAAACATTCCCATTATAACCTGAAATGCATTAAATTTGTTGTTTTTGGGAGGGGTTCTATTTTATTATTATTATTTTTTTCAGCAGGCAAGATTATAACGGTATAACTACTTTTACAGAATTAACTTAATTACTGAATTTCACAGAAAATATTTGTTTATTTTTTATAAATAAAGAACTATTTCTTAAGTCAATTATTAAAGTATAATATGTTACATAGGCTGATTTATTCATTTGAAGTATTTGGTATTTTAAGAGCAAGTGGAAAATGTGCTGAATGTTTCATTTCATCCAAGTGAAATTAGCAAGCAGTTAGACTGAATTTACACTTGTTTTAAACGCTGAGCCAGGCGCAAGTCAACACGGGTTGCGCGCGTGCGTCAAGCCTCGTCCATACTGCCAGATGCGCTCGTGAAGTCTTGCGGTGCGGAGTATAAACGAGCATTACGAGACAGGCTGCGTGAGTGCGGCAAGCGTGAACGGCTCGTCCGTGACGCAGGATTCGCGCCGCGTGGGGCTGAGAGGAGCGAGTATGAGAAGCATTCACAGACACAGGCTGTGTGTGCTCTCTTCTGAATTGGGAATAGCGAACATGCAGCATAAACTTATTTAAATTAATCTTTTGGGGAGATAAAATGTGCAAGATAACGTTCACGTACTAACAAAATCATCTAAGAATGTATCTTTTATTCTTCAGTACTGAAAACAGAACCTAGAAGGGAGCTTTTGACTCAGCTCTTGGAAATTACCTTTTTTGTTCGTTGTCTGTCATTTCGAAGCTTACCTTGCATACGTTTTTCTTTAGTTTTAATTTGCCTAACTATCGATCTGACCCAGTGGACGCCATAATCCCACTCTGTCAAATTTCCGTGCCAATCCATGTTATTTTTTACTGCGAATAATGCGCTGTCACTTTCAGCGCGTGCAGCACAGCATAAATAGACTCCTGGAGCGCACTGCCGGACCGCAATCGCGTGCAGTGTGAACCCTCTGATCCGTTAACATGGGCACGGACAAAATACGCACAACAGACGGAGTGTGTGAACCTGGAGTTACGTCTGTATGCCCGCCCAGTCTGTTCTGTTATCGTGCTCCATTTAGGCGCGCTGCATTCTGATTTCTGGTTCGGATAGCAGGTCGGGGGCACGGAAAATCGTGAAATAAAGAGATTTAGAAATCGCGCAAGCTCAAATCGGGATTTTGTGACTATTTCGATTAATCGCCCAGCCCTAGTTTAATATATCATGCAGCCTTGGAAAACAGTCTAATGTGTTTTATGGATTCTCGTCCATGAAATGTGCCACTTCTGGTATTTTGCCGGTTAGTCGACGCGAGCAAAATGAAGTAGAGGATTTTTAAAAATCTAATAAAATCGACGAATCGCGACAGCCCTACTATATATAATTAAATTCAGTTGATTCCTTTGCAGAGTCCTATATTCTTTCTGCTGCTGCCTTAAATGTTCAAACTATGAGTTGACCGAGAACGTTTATCGAGCTTTGTGAGTCTGATCTAAACCAGGTTGGCTTTATCGGGTTTTGTCAACTCAAAACTTGCTCTGCAACTCTGAGTTTGTTCATCTCGCTTTGTGCTACAGGCCACAGGCTTAGAAAACACTGCTTTGAAGTACTGTAGCACTGTGCATGTGAATACACACTTGATTTTAAGAGCTCGTCCACACGGAGGCGCGTTTAGCTGTGTACGCATACATTTTGTATCATATAGGCATTTCGTCCACACGGATCCGGCGTTTTGGGAGAGTGAAACCGATATTTTTTGGAACCAGGTCCCAGAGTGGATAAATCTGAATCCGCCACCCTTGCATTTTCGTGTGGACAGCGAATCTGTATATTTTCTGAAACGATGACGTCATCAGCCCACGTCTCGCCGCTAGTCAGACACCGCTACGTCACGTAACGGCAACAAAACCATGAACAAACACTGAACGATTCTTTATTAACTAACATTAACACAGATTAATACATGTATTGCTCCATGTTCGTGTGTATACCGCGCACAAGGTTTATGCGCATACTCCAAGTGTTCTCTGTTTTAGTGCATCTCTGTGGCAGAATTACAGCGCCACATACTGGTCTGGCATGTATACTACATCGTTTTGTGTCGGTTTCGTGTGGACGCAGATATTTCTTGAGACGAGGGGAAAAAAAGATCGGATAGGGAAAGCTCTGGCTTCGTGTGGACGTAGCCT